GGTTTATTAGTTTCCGAACGTTTTATTGTTTGGGTGTTCTGAAATTTGATAAATCGAACTTCGAAACGTGTTTCGTACATAATGATAATTCGCAGCATTCTAAATTCAAATCACTTTCCCTCACTCTGCAGGGAAAACGCGTTTCCCTCACTCTTAAGCAGGGAACCCAGTATGTTTGAGCTGCTAAGGTGAAAATACATTTCCTGAAACAACTACTTACACAAAATGAAAGTATATTCTGTTTTTCAGATGTTCCAAGTTATATCTTGAAATTGCTATTAGTTATTCCATGCTATAGTGTAAGCAATTTTTTGTAGTCATCATTTGTCTATATTCTTTAGGTTTCTAATTTTGTATAATGTAACTTAATTTATTTGTACATTACTTCTGGTTAATGAAAGCTAGAAAATATTTTTTGTAATTGCTTTTAAGATTGTATTACCATTGTCTTTCTAAAGAAGAAGTGAATTTCGTGATGGTGTTAGTAAATAATGCACAACAAAACTAGAGATAAATTGTTAGATTATATATAGAAAAAGTGAAGGTAACATTTTGTTATTAATTTGACTCTTTTCATCTGTAGGTGAAAGTAGGGAACTTACATAACTCAACTCGCCAAGAACATCAGGGATATCCCCTAAATCCCCTTTAACTAGCTTATCTAAATTATATTCTCAGTTTTGGCAGTCACACTTGACCTTTATAATAATGGTATTGGAAGCCACGCATTCCCTGGTACGTTATCCAATAAAATACGTGATCGGCATAAGGGGAAACCCTCCTGGCACCAGACTCAGGATATTTAACGGAGATTCAGCGTCAATTAATGAAATAACAACTCGAACTATGGTGATAATGAGGATTGACGCTTGCATTATTCTATTCGCCAGTGGCTTCGTCAAAATGGACAAATAATAAAAGCTATCTACTTCAAATAAAAAAAAAATGTGTGTGTCAGCTCCGACGCACGACTGGATTACGATTATTACTTACTTCTTAAGTTCGATAGTCTAACCAGACGCAAAAAGAGTTTATTTAACTTAAAAAAGATTGGTACTGTATGAAAGGGTAAATTAACGAATTAATGAAAATAATACACATATATGAATATATATTTATTCATTTCATATACATTTATTATAACTAATCGACGAAATATTTTACATTAAACTTTTTACAGATGTGCATAAATTAAATTACGCTACGATACTGTGCTACGCTGTAGCACTACGGCTGCTACAGCGTAGACAGTAAAAACGTAACGAGGTCATTCATCGATAGATTTCACTCCTCACATTTTTCTCATACCGGGCCCCTTATATATGCAAATCGATTCTTAAGGAGTAAACTCCAAAAATATTCATTATTATCTATATCTCCGAGATGCATGGACCGATTTTAATTATTCTTTTCTTGTTTGAACCAGGTTTTTGGCGATATTAATTTGGTGATGATTTGATTAGTACTTTTGGAGAGAACAATGGACTCCTCAATTACAAACAGTACTCAATTCATGTTTGGATATTTAGTATGTTGATCTTAATCTGGCTTGAAAAAAGTGTAAAATAAAACCTTTTTTCAACAAAAATTAAACCGACTTCATAAAAGAAACAATAAAAAGTAATAAATAATGCATGTTATTCACATATTTTGTTTTGTTTTATGAAGTCGGTTTTTATAATTAATGTGGATATTAAATTTACTCCTAAAGATGATTCTGGCTTACAAAATTATGCGTTTGAATGTCTGCTAAATGAGTGAATGCTAAATGATTTTCTGCAAAATTAAGTTTATGTCATCCGCTCATATGCATAATAATATTATAACATTAAAAGTTCTGCGTTACAAGGTAGCTCCGTTTTTGATTTCTTGGTATTAAGAAAAACTATCGTTAAGCATCGATAACATGAGGCGAGTTTTCAAGCTACAAGCCAGCGAGTTTGCTAGCAGCTTGTAAACTCGCTCCGTGTCATCGGCTTTTTTACCATCTGCTACTCGATGATACAGGGCGAGTTTACAGGCTACTAGCGAACTCGCTGGCTTGTAGCTTTTAAACTCGCCCCGTGTCATGGAGGCTCCAAGAATAGTGTTAAGCGGTCATTCATTTTATAACAAAAATTAAGTAAAATCAATAACGCAGATATAACATTTTACACAACTTAATATTGAATGATTATGTTTATTTCGAATTGCATATAGATAAACTTTAGAATTCTAACGTGCATTCATATTCTGTAATTTACCAAATAAATGGGTTACTTAAAAATATTATAAAATATAAATATAAAATATTATAAATCAGTGGTGTCAAAGCGATAGTTATTTTTTCTTCCTCCTGCACTTTACTTTGTAGCTTATTTTAAATTTCTAATAATTCATCTCATACAGATTCTGCAAAACTCTAAAAAATCATTACACGAATTAAGAAAAGCAATCGTAATTTTAATCCTCTTAAAGTTTATCCTAATGGCTTTTTACTCAAAGAGCTGAACCAAAAATTATTCCAAGTTCCACAGTACAAGATTAATTAATTTGTTCACCTTTTGAATTATAATTCCTTTATTTCAGCAACATAATTAAAAGGGGTAAAGGCTACGTGTTATTGTTCCAAGCCTCTTCCAACAATATAAATGACGTTATTATCATGTATATTTCAATTTGACTTACAATTTTGGTATTTTAAATTAGTCATATCAAACCAGTTCCAGAATGGTAGTAATTATATATAAGTATATATTTTTGCGTAACAAAGAAGTAAAATAAAAAAAATGAAACACGTATGTTTAAACAATGTCGTTACAATTTATTTAGCATCAGAATTTATACTACAATTAAAACCTAAAAAAACTCTGCGACTGACTTATAACTGAAAAATAAAAGCCTAACCAAACCTAAAAGTGGTGTTCAAATACCTATAATATATTCTATTAATATACTTTCTTGTTTTAGTTACACGTACAGTGTATGGGTATACAGAGCCTTGCTTATTATTGATTTTCCTTAAATTTTCATTTAGATTGACAGTATTAAAAGAGTCAGAGAAGCGATTAAAATATTGGATACGGGTAATACCTAATATTCTAATTGTAATCATTTTAATATTAGTTAAGTTAACGTAAAATTTTGGGCAAAATCCAATCCGATATCATTATCATAAATCGGTCGCAACTGCATGGAGGCAGATTGTTGGCCGACAGCCAGCCTGCCCGGTGACTCATCGAAGATATCCCGCCTATTGACATGACTTGACGTAGATAGTGCCTTTTTTAGTTCCAACAGAAATTAGGGCGGCTAAATAGGTCAGCTTGTAGTGAATACAGTTTTACGCATTCTCGGTTTAGCTGCCATTAAGTTCTCGTTCGCAATCAACTTTCCTCGTTTTATTACGTAGGCTTGCTTTATTTTTACAAAACTGCCCAAAAAGAGTGTTCTGTGTCCAGATTTCATTTCTGTGTGTATGTTTCTTAATTCCACCATAACTTTTAAACGCCTGAGTCAATTCATGCTCGTATTATAGAAAGACGAACTTAGTGTTGATCTTTACTTAGTACAGTTAGAAAGGGATGTCGCTATGAGCTATACAAAGCGACATCCCTTTCTAACTGTATTCAAGGAAAGATCAAAACTGAGTTGTCATTCTGTAATACGACCCTTAGGCCCGTATTATAGAAAGATTCTCAGTAATGTATCTACTCTTGAGCATAGATAGAAAGGGATGTCGCTATATATAGCACATAGCGAAATCCCTTTCTAACGGTACTCAAGTAAAGATCAACACTTAGTTGTCATTTTGCAATACGAACCTTAGAATCCTTTCACCATTTTGAGTGACATATGACACCTGCCAGTTAAAATTGAATTAACAACAATGGGAAAATGTCAATTATATTTGTCAAATTAAAAAAAGTTTTCTAATTATTTCAATATCAATATCATTCAAATTTAAACAAATAAAGTAGCATTATTAAACGGGTTTAGCTGTAAATCATAATAAATACTAGAAAAATACTAGAAAATATATTGATTAATTTAAGCACTTATTTAATTCACAAAGAACAAAAAACGATTAAATAACATAAATAATTAAAAACACAACTGCCCTTAGAAAAAATGAGCTAAAAAAGAAAAATGTTGGTTTTATTTTTCTAGCACGACGCAATTTAATTATTTTTTAATGCAGGTGGGTAGGGAAATGTTTTGTAATTAAAAGATGTCTTTGTTATGTGATTAAAAAAGCCCCACGTTTGAATTGAAAAATATACTTACATCATCATGTTTTTCGTGTTTTTATTTTGGTCAATTTACCTCGTGTTTGGCTGAGTCAGTTATAACCTAAAGAGTAACAGCCAAACCCGACAAAAAGATCGACGAGCGTTCACTGCTGCAGACATGCATATTATGTCATCATTAGTCTATTTGGTACTAATTAACATCATTAGTCTGTTTAAAATTTTGGACGATTTAAAAGAGTTGTACTATACGTCCAATTTGAATAAAGACATATTGATTTCTGATTTCTGATATCCTACTGGTGGGGCACAGGTGTATCCTATGGATGGGATAGGGATAAAGGGACCACGACCCTCCGCCCAAGGCCAGTGCAGATTGATGGGTGCTAACGACCGCTGATGCAGCCTATGCATCATAATATGTAACTGAGTATAATTATAAGTAAAACTTATAATCTTTGACACTTCAGAATTACGAAACCCTCTAAAGCACATTTCAGATCTTAAATATTTAGGTTTAATAACTTGATGTAAGTGAACTAAGCTAGAAATTTTAGCGGTTTCACACTTCCTTCGCGGTAAAAGCAAAGTTACCTAGCTAAAAGTTACGAGACATTTCACATAAAAGTTTTAGAACAAATTTCTCACTTACATATTACTCTCAACATAGTTTAGATATTTGTTCATGTCCTTACCTAACGCAATACAAAGAATTAGAGTAAGTTTCTATTTATCTATTTACTCAATAACTGTGATTGTATTTGTTTACAGAGAAACAAGGATTTATACAGCAGCTGCATTAGCAGGAGGCACTGAACGACCTGAAAGAGCATTAACAGCTTCATTTGCTCTTTTGAATTTAGTACCAGGGTCAGATGAAAGAAATGCATGGAGACAAGTAGGAAGAATATTAGGACGAAATGTGAAATTACACACTATTATCTGGCCCGGTGGTCGTCTTGTTGCTCACGGTCAATCAGATGGAGCACGAACAATTTTTCGTATAGTTACAGCCTTAGCACCACCATTTGTAATGGAAGGTGAGCTTGACGAAGATGGTCAATGCCTTCGAGGTCTCCCATGTCATCGACCCCAAACATCTGACAGAGATAACCTCACACTTGCTTTCAACGATTTGGACAAAGAAAGCGATCAAGAAGCAAGCGATTTCTTTTTTCCAACGCCCAAGCCAATGTTTTCACGAATGGCCACACATTGTTGCTACGGATTGGCGATGGATCTCCTAGAAAACATTGCTCAAGAGCTTGAATTTGATTTTCACCTCTATATTGTAGAAGATGGCTTGTACGGTTCTCGAAGACTTGTCAAACCATTTCGCAAGTTAAGTGAATACAGAAGTGTTACAAATGAATTTCTTTTTAAGCAACAAAGCTATCGATCGCAATACCGTAACGGTATGGCTTCAGATGAAGAATATAAATATGACGAAGATTCTGATGAAGATCCAGAGAAATGGAATGGTGTAATAGGAGATTTGGTTTCAGGAGCAGCTCATATGTCCTTTGCTGCTCTTAGTGTATCAACAGCCAGAGCAGAAGTTATTGATTTTAGCCAACCATATTTTTTTAGTGGAGTATCAATATTAGCCGCTCCTAATCGGAGACCTGACATACCTTTACTTGCTTTTCTTTTACCATTTTCGCCGGAGCTTTGGATTGCTATATTTACCTCTTTGAATGTGACGGCAATAGCAGTCGCAATATACGAATGGTTATCACCTTTTGGACTAAATCCTTGGGGAAGGCAGAGATCAAAGAATTTTAGTATATCTAGTGCGCTTTGGGTTATGTGGGGCCTTTTGTGTGGGCATTTAGTAGCGTTCAAGGCTCCAAAAAGTTGGCCTAACAAATTCCTCATTAATGTATGGGGTGGCTTTTCTGTGATATTTGTTGCCAGTTATACTGCCAATATTGCCGCACTCATAGCTGGACTGTTTTTTCATAATGCTGTTGATGATTATCAAGGAAGAAGTAATGTAAGTAGTATTAGTATTATAAAATTATGTTTTTTTTGCATGCATCAAATTCATATGCAACCATGCATTTGATGTTATGTGAAATTCAAATTTATTCATTAATTTTTGCAAGTGCATTTAAATTTGAACAGAGCTTCCTCTCTTTAAAAAAATTAAATACAAAGAAACAATTTATTTTTCTTTCTTTTTTATTTTACTGCATGACTATTTGCAGTTTTTTTCGCCGTACAATATTTTATATTTCCCTGCGAAGGATGGAATTAAAAATTACTTAGCATTAAATCGTGACTGCTTTTAGTGGCTTTCTCTACGAGTTGGGACGGCCAGGTCGTCGGTTTCGGAGTATTATGTCCAACGGAATAATCCACAGCTGGCGCAGCAAATGCGCCGTTACGCGCTCCAAGACATTGAGGAGGGCATCCAGAGGCTTAGGTAAGAGGTTAATATTTAAAATGAAAATGATTTAGCAAAATAAGTTCGAAAAAAGTTAAAACCTACCTTTTTTTACGGGTCTGATAAGCTGAGGTATTAATAAAAATATAAAACGTGTAAAATATAATATATAAACAATAAAAAATAAGATACTTTCTTGCCACAAGATTTGTAGATCACCGAGGATTTGTTTGTTTCAGATAAGAAAGTTATATTAATAAAAATATATATCCATGCCACAGCAACAAATAGATAGATGTGTATCCATTTTTTAGCATTTTTTCAAAGATGTGTATCTATCTACTCGTGGCTGTGTCATACAATATATTTTGTGATTTATATACCTGTGTTGTCTGAACAAAAAATCCTCGGTAATCAACGAATCTTGTGGCAAGACAGTAGCTTATAATTTTGTGATGAAAATACAGAATAGGTCATGACGAATTTTAGTAAAAAGAGCGATGGGAAAATTTAAATCAAATTTGTGTTTGCAAAATATTTAGAGCTTGTACTTTATAAGTTACAATTACCCTTTCGAGACCAACTTTTGTAGCAAACGTTGCAAAGCACATTTTTAAAATACTTATTAACAGAGTTTACACTAGGAACTTTGTTATATTGCTTTTTTGTGAAAGTTTGAATTTAAAGTAATAAATATTAAGTGAGTTTCAGTTTCGGAAACTTACTTTTTTTTGGCTTTTAATTGTTTATTTTATTAATCCAGCTCTTTATTCCCTCATATATTGGTTTTAAAACGTAATTTAACTTTTTAAAAGGACTAAACTTTTATGTTTATCTTAATTGTATCTATTTATTTACTATATATTTTTTATATATATTTACTCACCGTATTAATCCTCCATGGGGTAGGTAGAACATTATAGCATGGGACAAAGACCAAAACTACCGCGCCGAAGCAGATAATTAGTTCAGAATAAAACATCTTTTCTATCAAGCACTCATTGATTCAAACAAATCTAAAATTCCTATCACTGACTAAAATGGAATGAGGTCACAAAATCACATTGTTCATGAACACATCTATTATTTAAACGGTAGTACTTTACGTTTGGCAAAATACATTCCACCTTATTCTGTTGGGTACCCAGGTAATTTTCGCTTGCGCAAAGCGAATTTTATTATACTTTTTATTGAGGTTACTGAGTATATATTTATATTCCACTCCCGGGCTTAGGGTCTGGTCCGCTCACAGGTTAACACCTCAAGTTTATGAGGTCTCTTGGAGTATATGTTTGGTTTGCCAATGTAGAGCATGTTTTTTAACTGTGATAAGTACACTTGGACAAAAAGAGCGTATTCCTGCCTTAAAGGCATCTTCTTTATGGCACTCCAAGTATTGCAGGTGTCCATGGGCGACGGTGATCACTTACTATTAGGTGAGCCGTCAGCTCGTATGGCCCGTATAATATAAAAAGAACTCATCATAGTGTCTAAGAATCATGTACCTACTTGATACAGTCACAATTTGGGTTAATTTCCTACAATTTTCGAATGCTGCAAATGTTCTTTATTTTTAAAAAATTAAGGGACGTTATTTTTTTTGGGGGCCTTATTAATTATAGGAATTAAGGTGAAAAGCTAATCTGGAGGTAGAGGTTTATCTGGGTAAAAAACTAAACGAATCTAATATTAACCTAAGCCATTCTGGAAAATTATCATCGCCAAATTTTTTCTTCACGATGATGACTGGAAGTCTCTAGTTTTCCAAAATTATTAGTCATTAAATAAAAAAGTATGTTGCGAATTTTGGTAAGCTATTCTATAACAAGTTATAAGCTATTTATATTTGATCATTTACTCAAATTGATAGGTAGTATTTTTCATTTTCTTTTCTAGGATCTAGTCATTCCCCAGAAATAACATTAAATTTAATAAGCCAATAACAAAAGATTTTTCATTGGAATGATCATGCCTGGAATTGGAAAAAAAATCTTGATTTTTCTTTATCAGAAATGGCACACTGGACCTTCTCATTGCGGATACACCTGTGTTGGACTATTACCGAGCGACCGATCATGGATGTAAGTTGCAAAGAATAGGTGATCATGCGTTAGCTGAAGACACTTATGCGATTGGTATGGCCAAAGGATTTCCACTGAAGGTATGTATGATTGTATGATGCTGGTATTATTTTATAATTTTCAGTATGGTTTGTGCTGGGGAATCGTGAACCTTGTCAAAGACAAATATTTTTCAGCTCTGTTAGAGACATCGTAGTAGACCAGTAATAAAGGGAAACTGACCATTTGTTGATAGGAGTAATAATAATAATAATTATTATAGTGGTAAAACCATTAAAGAAAGTATTATAGCTATCTGGTCTACTTTACTCGTATTAGTCTTCACTTAAATAGAACATGATGTTGCTTCTGGACTCCAGCCTCACTTATACCTACACTTATTTATAAACTGTTTATGAATTCATACTTTAGGGAAGTAGAAAGTGAATATTATTTTTTCAAAGAAATTAAAATTCATAATTAATTAGCAACCGAATCAACTTTTAGGTGATAAAGTTACTTTTCAAAAGTAACTTAAATAATTATTCTAAATAATATTATTAATTATATAATTCTCTTTTCATTGTAATAAGTATTTCCTTTTCGATTACAATACGTCGACGAAGTCAAACACAATAGATACTTTATTTATTTATTTGATAACGAAACTACATATATATTTATAATGCAATTAAATACAACTTTTATAAAATCATACTTAATCACAACATAAAAATTAATAGTCTTTTAATAAGACGTATTCTTTTGAATTAAAGGAACAGATACAGTTAAAAATATTAATGTTCCACCACTTTAAGGCGCTGATTCGATCAAAGACAAGCAACTTCGATTAAATCGTCGCGAGCAAATTTTATAAGAGATTTAACATGAATTGAATTAGACCTAAAAGTGGCAGCTCGCTAACTCCGTTACTTTGTACATCCATAAAATAATATCTTTAAAAAGATGACGAGATGAAAGGGAAATGACAGAAAAGTTTAGACTGCTTGGTACAACGACAGTGAAACTGCCTTGTCCTCTTTCATGGCTCCGTCTGTATATTCTTTGATTGCTGAATTCTTTGAAAAGGTGATAAGAATTACTGTAATGAAATGAAATTATGCTATATTCAAATTGATTTATTGAAAGCATTTGAATCTTCCAATTTTTTTCTACCACTAATGGATGCTTAGATCGTTCGACCATGTTGGCAGAATGAGTGATTTACGCAAGAGATCTAAGAATCGTAAGTGATCAACGAAAACCTTTGTCAATCTTATTAAAGAAGGGTCTGGTCAGGAATATTCGTAATTTTGTCATAAGGGCAATTATTTCTTCCCGTAGTTCACCTTAACATTACTAGGTGTATCAAGAGATTTTCTTTTTCTTGTGGTTCATCCATCTAAATATTGATATTTCGTTTTCAGATTTCACGTTATGTTAATTGCCCGTAGTACACCTATAAAAGTGTGAAATTGAAAAACAGATACTACAAGTTCAATATTCTCATTATGTCACATATAAAAAAGCAGTACACTTGAAATTCACAACAAAAACTGAAACGCGATTTTAAGCTCCCCTTATTTTGAACCCTTTAAGCACACGTTATTTTTTTTAATGTGCAATATATTTGTATGAACGTATATTGTAAAGTGCAAGTAATAATGCGTTGTATAATGAAACCGTTCGAAATCCATACTTTTCAAGAAAATCACTAAAAACTAGTGGCCAGTAAACTAGCCATTGACCAGTAGTGCTAGCAATTTAAGTTACGACAGCATTTTATGACTGACTCAAAAATCTGTTCATATACAAACAGTGGATTTTAAAAGTAAATTTAATAGTACTTATACTACAAGTACATGTAATAATTTTATGAATAAAAATTGCACAATAACAAAAAAGGCTGCTATTTCATTAAAACACCGTAACAGTCTATGAAAGAAGTAGGTGAAAAAAGTTAAGATACAATGAGTTTTACCCTTTTTTGTGATAGCCATAAGATCAAATGAGTATTTTTGTGGCCATAGATTCCAAAAAATCAATTTGAGAAAACATTGACTAAGCCTGTTTTTCCCCTCAACCCTTCAGAAACTTGCGAAAATAAGTTAGTAATGGTCTTATTTTGAACAAGCGATCGGAACACTCGCTGTCCCTGGGAACCATTATGTTTATAAATCTGTAATCATAAGTTTATCTTTTTAATTGTAATAACATAAGTAGACAACGGTAAGAAATAATTACCTCTGGTACAACCAGGTGAGTTAGGGTGAACCACGAGAAAAAGGATAGTCTCTGGTACACCCAGTTATCTTGAGGCGAATTATGGGAAGAAATAATTGCTCTTGGTACGCCCATGTGAACTTTGTATGTGGACCATGGACAGACCAAGTTCGAAAACACATAACGTGTATGAAGTAGGTATGTAAATATCGTATAGAATGCGGTTGATAAAATTTGCGCTTGGTAGGTAAAGCTGGTAGGTAGCTGAGTCTCCGATACGCTTTAATGAGTAAGTAACACATATGTCAGAAGTGACGGTCCCAAACAGTCTCGCTAAGAGCAACGTCTGGAGTAACGTATATTTCCATAAGAAGGACTGGGAGGGTGGAGCGGGGGAGCGATTTCGGATCTTTGTAAGGCAAGATTGATGGATGACGCACGAGTCTCCTAATGTTGTGATCGATAGACGGTGTCATGTAGCCCAGACTTCGACGATTATATGTCATTTTATCTTGACGCGTTCAATAAACCGCGGTGGCGACATAAATCAGTGGATCATAAAAACTTTTTTGTTTCGGATCGTGACGCAACGTAACAGAAATCCGTTTGTCGACGCCTTGTTGAGTACGCTTGGTCACATATGTGTCGACATTGTTTTCAGTGTGATTCGACCGAGTGACGTTTACAAATACCCTCACTTATCTCGTGTTGCCAAAAAATATGAGCACATTCGTTTTGACGTGGATATTTGTTTTCAGGATAGCATATCTGCAGTTATAGCTAAGTATTCGTCGAATGGCTACATGGATATATTAACTGAGAAGTGGTACGGAGGTCTCTCTTGTTTTAAATTAAGCCCCGATTATGGGATTCAACCAAAACCACTTGGTAAGTTTTATTTTTTAAATAGGTACAAATTATGAAATGCTTGATGAAAGTATATCTCAGACAGACACGGCCTGCGGCCGCGGCCGGGGTTGCGATCAGTTGTATACGCCTGCAATGTAAGCGAGTGTTCAAACACGATAGGCCAAAAAGGGCTTGCCACCTCTGTCTGTCCTTTTATTATGTAATTTTGAATTTGACTTGATTTATTTATACTTTCTTCTACCTAATTGGTTTTAATATTGGCTAGGTCTTTTTGATTAACTTAACACAAGTGCAACGAAAATACCACAGTACCTAGGTATTTATCATACTTACTCTACCTATGTATTATTGTTGCACAAGGAACGGAAAAGCCGAAATCGTGATTAAAAACTTGTTTGTCGTTTAAGCGTGTTTTTGTCTCGTGCATTTTCTTGAGTTCTCAGAAGTTGAGTAAAGTCATGAAATAATTTTTTTTAATTCCAGTTATGTAGGTACATACTTTAGTTAAGACCCATAGGGAGCTGCTCGTCTCCAACGGGAATTTCATTAGAATTTATCACCCCCTCCTCCAATTAATCCGAGGCGAGGCGTAGGAAGTTTTACCAGTGGTCGACCTTTCAAAGATTAAACATTGGATTTGCGAACTAGCCTTTATGCGGCATAATAGTGATGATGTGAAGACTTAATTTTTTTCTTCGTCTATTAAGTAGATAATCAAAAAGTATTGGACGCGTATTTTTTCATTATTTTCATAATTCAACATTACATGACGACCTCCGGATTTCAAAGAGTCGCCTACTCGTGAGGTCCGGGATTTGAATCCCGGTGGAGGCCAAGCATTTGTATTTTAGTCACGGATTTTTATATATATTTCTATATAAATAAATATTCTTATATTTGTATCAAAAATGTGTATTCTATTCGTTACCCTAGTATTCCATCAGTACTTACTTTGGGGCTAGGCTAATTGGTGGGAAATATTATTACTATAACAGAGATATAATGATTGAAAATGTGGCATGACGTCACGTCTTGGTACAATTTTTACTTAGAAGTGACGTCATGACGTCCTAGCTTGACACGCTTTATCTTTGTATTTTTTTGGTTGATTGACAAAATATGTATAATCGTTCATTATTTTTTGATAATCTAACTGAAGGACTTAATTGAATTGCGTTTAATTTACCCCGTCATCATTCCTATTTTGTATTGCCAGAGGAAGGCTACCCGAACAATATTTTTTTCTGAATTGAGAGTCTTGTTCTGGATCCTTTTAATTTAGTTGACGCATTCCGGTTAACGAAGTTGTTCAAGTAGATGGCTCTTTTATCCTGAAGTGAAGACAATAATACTTTATTTCTGGCTTTTCCTAATTAATGATATAAGTATTTGTGTATGCTAAAGATATAGTATTGACTTAAACTTGAAGCGGTTCTGTGAAAATGCAATTTTATATCATTAAAACCATCTAAATAAAACATTTCAATGAGTTATCTAAATAAAATACCTTAATAAGTTTAATATTCGACTGAGAATCGAAGAAGTAAACAAATGAAATATTTCACAATGCGTCTTTGCTAAATAATTAAGCCTTTTTTCCAAACTTATAAAAAAGAAGAAAGGTAGACGTGTAGAATACGTGTATTTTACTTACCGCATCGCCACAATTCAAGTTCTAGTTATAAATTTTACTTAACTTCAACTTTTCACATTCGTTTCCAATACGATATTGCAAAAGTTGAAACGGTAAATAAAAATTATAGAACTGTTACGTAAGTACCGATGTACGAATTCATCCAAAAAATGTCTAACACTATTTATGGCTTTTTATTTGAAGTAATTTGCGTTAAATTAAAGTACTTCATGCTAAAAGTGCCTTATCTACTTGCACTTTATGTGTTATGAAAATAAATATAAATTATGCACTCGCTATACACGAAAATAGGTTCATTTTAAAGATTCAACTTTAATATGAAGTCGCTACTATATCCCTTGTGATTTATTTTACACCAAAGCTTGTTTAGACACTTATATTGCCATTTTTTTTTCAATACCCACCAATTAGCCTAGCCCCAAAGTAAGCACTATAAGGCTTGTGTTATGGGATACTAGGGTAACGGATAGAATACATATACTGTACATATATATAAGCGTATTTATATAGAAATACATATTAAACATCCATAACTGGAGTGCAAATGCTCGTATTCATCACACAAACATCTACCCCCGTCGGAATTAGAACCCGGGATCTCTCGAGTCGGCAACACCATGAAACCCGGCGTACAAAACACTCGGCCACGGAGGTCGTCGAAATTATTATATTTTTGTCATTTTTGAGGATGATTATCATCTTGTCACTGATAATAGTAGACATTTTGCTTCATGCATTTATTTTCCATTTCGATATAATCTAGTTTTCATTTGTTTCGGATGGGTAGAAATTTATTAATTTCATTTTCATTTTTCATCAAGTATGGTGAATATTTTTTTATACTTTATTTAATGAAAGGCTTTATTTCTTATAAGATCATGCCAACCCCATCGGAACCTAACCCAACTTAATATATTTCTATGATTCTGATCAGATATGATTCTGTGATTATCATTGGGCAGTGGGTGTGGGAATCATTGGTACAATTATGCACTAACTAAACACTTGACTACATTTGAAATTGTGTTTGATAAAATTACTTAAAAATACTCCTTCAACAGAATTTGGTGGTTGGCGCCATGATTTTAAGATTAAATTTTATTTGCAGGTGTGGCGGCGGTAGCTGGTGTGTTTATTTTGCTTGGCGTGGGAATGATCGTGGGCTGTCTCATATTGATCCTGGAGCACTTGTTTTATAAATACACACTGCCTGTTCTACGTCACCAGCCCAAAGGAACGATATGGAGGAGCAGGAACATTATGTTTTTTAGCCAGGTAAAACGACTATTTCTTATTTTGTAACTTTCAAAAATATTACCTACAATAAAATATGTTAATGATAATGATATTTAGGTACAAAATCAAAGTATTTACCAGTTGTGTTGTTATGTATTTGTAAGTCTCACTGATTTATTTAGTTTATGAGTGTTGCAATAGACCTTTTATCTTTTAATAATATTAGGATTTTAATGTTCGGTATGTATCCTCTGCTTGCTAAGTGCCTATTACTATGTTCCTCTCCTAACATAAAAATCGCCCTTCATCTTCGCCCGTTTCATAATCAATTCATGATATTGCCACATCATCCTTCAACTAAACGGCAGTATCACAATGGGTATTAAAGTATTTGACTCAAAGGCAATCGGCTCACCGCTACTTAGCCTAAAGGCAGCCAGTGTTACACTTTGAAGTCACTTGTTTGCCCTACTCAAGCGTGAAGCCAAGACTGCTTCTAGCCGGATTATGTTCGCAAGTCACACGGTTGAGTAAATCTAAAACACAGTAACCAAACAAAACATGAAAGCTACTTTTGTCGAAAAAAAATCTTCTAAAACAACTGTTAAGGTTGTACCGTTAGAAATAATCCAAGTGGTGTCGTATTTAACATACAATTTTTTTTTCTAATAAGATTCTTATACAAATGTGAAATTGTAGCCTTATTCAAATGTAAAAGTGGCATATTGCTTTTAAATTTGCTTTCCAATATCTAAAATGACAAAGATCGGAGGCGTGGTGGGCCGTCTATATATTTTTTTTCAAAAGCGAAATGGAACTCTGAAATTGATATAAAGGTATATTTTTAAAATATTGATACGGATACGTGAAAGCAAGAAAGATTTAAAGTTTAAAATAGCTAGATTGTACCTTTAATATAATTGTCCATAACGTTTCATTTGTTCAAATCTCAAAATTATAAAATACTGTTTCATAAAACATCATATGAATATTATAAGAAATAAAATGCCTTATTTGACAGATTTTTATGAGAATGCGTAGTATAGCCATTTAGATGAAATATCATTTAAATGCCAAATTGGAGAATTCATTAACATATTTGAGGAGTCTGATATAAACCTCGCCATTTAAAATCTAGGTCACTTACTCACTTTTTAGTTATGACAATCTTTGGCGTTCAGCGTGTTTTAACTGTGAGTGAGCGCACTTGTCTCTGCGGGCTCCACGTAATCTTTCTGAACTGCGTTTGTTCCGTCACTTGTCATCTTCTTATTACATCTTCGCTTTAGAGCCCTAGTAACTGCAGAACTTAATAACAGAAAGCTTTAAATTATATGCATCGTTGAGTATTTGAATATGTGATTTTATTCAAAGATTGTTAAGGTGATTTTAAAATATTTCTATGGTAACTTAAGATAGGTAGGGATTATGGTGGCCGCTAGGCGGGCCATGTGCTTGTTTGCTACCCCTTTAATATAAAAAAAATTGCAATAGTAATCGAGAAAATCAATTTTTCTTATTTTACTGCGGAGCTGCGTGGTTATAGTAGCGCCGTGTTATATTTTCATAAGCTTAAATACTTCATGCTCAAAGCAATAGTTTATGTATCATTTACTGAAGCATTATACTTGAATTAGTTTTAGTACCGTTCTGTCCCGACTAGGATTTTGGAGATTAAGCAAAAGCTTTTCATAAGATTGATGACCAAAATGGCGTGTGCCCTGCTCTGTGTGAAAACTTTCATACCATTAAATCTATGAAATAAACATTTTATCTTCATGAATATCCTAAATCTCATTGAAGTATTTTGCTTGCCCATTTACAGTGGTCCAATATTTTTTTAAGGTGGAGAACTACATAACAAATCATTTAGAATAAACATCAGATCCACAAAAATCAATAGTTTATAAGTTTCGTTTAATTGTGCTTGTTTGAAAATTCTTTACTCCGAACACGTGATTCATTTTAAATTAAAATCTACTTCACTTTTTGACATGAAATTTGGTGCTAATAGAGATAAAAAGCCAGGAAAAAAGCACATAATGAGCACTTTTTATTATTTACATTTATTCTTGAGAATTGTTATATTGGTGAATTATTTTCTGTATTCGAAATATAAAGGATAATTATTTAAAAATAAAGTCACTGTAGTCATCACTGTATCTTCTTTTTTGGACTTTAGTGTAGTGTAGTGTGATCATACTTTTTGTTAAGCATCAAATTACTACAAGTATTTAGGGGATTTGGTTGTATATTTTTACTGGGCAATTTGGTAATGTGCTAGCAAAGAGCACGCTACGAGTAAGTATTGCTACGTGTACGCTACGTTCTCTTAATACTAAACAATTCCCAACCTCCAGTTAATACGTTACTAGTTCGTTTACCTTCACCGCGTTAAAAAAAATCTCAATATAGCTGGAATAACAGATTTAAGTACAGGAGAGAATAAGCAGCGTAACACTAAAACGTCACATACCCCCTTATTAATAAACAAATAATAAATTTGGATTACTTACTCTATGTTATGTAATAAGGCGGTTAGAATTTGAGATCTGTTTAGCTTAAAGTGAGAGGTTGTTATTGTTTAACTAGATTTCATAATTTAGACTTTATAGCTGAACGAAATTGTATTTTTCAATAAATAAAGTCTTTCCATTCTTGGAATTATGGTATTTCTTAAACCTTTTATTGATAACATTTTAGTAACATTGTCATTATATCAATAATATTTCATAACATTTATTTATGACATTTTAATCACATTATCAATCTTAACAATGTAAATTTATCATAGTTATATAAATGATGATATTTAACAAGGCACCATTTAATACCAAAGTCGCGTTTAATATTTAAAAGGACTTGGGCTCAACGATTGTTGTTTCATCTACTTACCTGCTATCGTTACGGCACTTAACTCCGTGAATTACTTTTCTTTGTTCAGGAACATAGTAACAGTTAAACTATTTGTTTTTTCCAACAGTGTGTGTATATTTTAGTAGGTAAAATGAGCAATGATGTTTGTATTAATGAAAAAATTATCTACTTTGAAATTTGATTTGATAAAACTTATTTATATCAAATGCCAACTGGGGGCTAATTGTTCCACGATTACCTTTAAAGCTAAAGCAAGTATCAGTGTTATAAAATAATTTCTTTCCCGAGTATAAAATAAAAGGGATCGCGGAAGGAGTAAAAGTAACAATTTCGACCCGTTTCTTATTATATTAAACCCTGATAAATAACTAATTGTAGGCAAAGTATTTACTTTCTCAACTGTAATAAGAAAACATACCTACATAAGCATAAAACTTCGCTACACTGTCAATAACACAACCAAAACCCATGGAGTATAATGTTTCGATATAGCAACTCAACAGAATAAAGTTCAAACAAAATGGTTAACATCAATTCGGGATTACTTATTTTGCCGATGGTCATAGAAAATCCGTAACGAATACATCCGTATCGTGTGAATAATTCATTCCGAAGTTGTTTGTTACAGAAACTGTACCGGTTCATAAATTGTGTCGAACTGGTGTCCCCTCATCACGCGGCGAGGGAATTGGTAAACACTATTCGCCAAGGACACTTCACATCCCTATTTCAAAAGAGTGTGAAAAGGGTAATTGTTTCTCTTTTTAATTTCATCAGTTTTGTTTCATTGAAAACTTTAAGTCTATAAATAAATATTGACATAATTTGTCATGCCTATTTGAATTTATTTACAGGCACTTAATATTTGATACATTGTAATAATAGCGTAATAACGAAACTTTTTTTACTTCTTGAACTCTGAAGTGGATAAATCGATGATTGCAAAATCCTATAAAAAGAAACTAGTAATTACCAGTTTACGACAGGAGGTTTGGTTTGTTTCAGAAGGAACACGAACAGCGTAGACGAAGAAAGAGTAAGGCTCAGTTGTACGAAATGATACAGGCTATCAGAAGGTGGGTACTATAAATATTATAATAATTATAATTTGAATATTATATGGATTACAATATTTATGATTTAATTTTCATAGCAGGGTTCAGCAGCGGGATCACTCGTTGGGTTCGATTAAGGAGCAGGAACCAACAGAAACTGTGTCCGAGGAATTAACAGAGTCGAAATTCTTATCTCCATCGCCTGAAGTTTCCTCTAGATCCCCTCGCTCTGGTCGCTCGCCTAGACAACTCCGTTCCCCAAGAGGACGCCGGAAAAGATGCAGCCTAGCTGGACTGAATGTGAGAAGATTTAGCACCGATTCTGTACTAGGTTCTGATTCTGTATCAAACATTTACGAACGAACCAGTCTGAACATCGGAAGAAGGCTTAGCAGAGACGTGAACTTCCTATCTAGTTCTCCGCCAGATATAAACACTCGTCTACGCACTCCCTCGCCTATGATTCGAAGAGCCGAAGGATCTTCTACGAGAAGTTACCAAGATGTCTCGGATAGATCAGAAAGTTATTTGTGTTCAGAAGCCCCTACTTCAAGGGCCAGTGTTGAAATCTTAGTTTCAGAAGAACGTGAACTCCCGCCAGCACCGCCATATCCAAGGGTATCACCAATGGGTGCAAGATCAAAACTTTCCTTACTATCCGAAGAAGAACTCATAAAACTATGGCGAAGTTCTGAAAGAGAGGTACGTGAAGCATTATTAGCTGCTTTGCAAGAGCGACGGGCCAACCTAGATCCGAAACAGGATCCGGGATGAAGGGGCAGACAGATTGAAACTCTGGAAAGAACATGGTTTGTAGATTCAATTAGGATCTCTTTTCGCTTCATGTCGTGGAGTGAGAGCAATAGGGAGTATCGATATGATAATACGCAGTGGTTGATTTAGTGCCTTTTTTACATTGTTTGATGCGGACGTTTCGCAGGTGTTAGTTCGACAATCAGTGTTCATTTTAGTGTCTTGTTATTATTATTATATTTATAAAGCTGCCTTATTTTAACATTTAATTGCTTCATAAATCCTTGATCCGCGTCAAACAATCTAAATATCGGTACTAAGTAGGTAATATTATATTTGGAGATATTTACGTCCAGAATCAACTTAAATATTAAATTAGAAACTTGAAAGTGTAGGCTCTTAAAATATAATTATGTATGTATAAAATTAAGATAGCTGACCACAAGATAAAGTGCTTTATTCTATAGTGTACGTAGTTGAACATAGATTATTTCATTTATTAATAATAAATTGGTGAACAATTTCAAATAAAATACTAGACATAGATAGATAATATGTCAATAAAATTTTAATATATTTACGAAAAAAAGACGATATGAAAGGCAAATTCATAATACCTTATTATACCGCCTATCTATGGAAATTAGTATACCTATTAAAATGCGTGTTATCTCTTGTATATTCTAACAAGAATTGTTTATTTTCAATTTATGTTCAAAAGTCATCCTTGTCTTTAATGCGTCTTGAAAATAAATTAGAATTTAAATGCAAATTATCGATCAACATAAAAGGTGTGTTGGTTCCTATGACGAAATTATTAGTAAAATAAATTACTATGAATGTGAACATTAAAACAGTTGCAAAGGCAACAAAACTATTGCTTTTTATTTTGATTTTACCTGGTACCTGTTTTTGAAATGCGCTATATTTTTTTAGGTATTTTCTACCGTACAGGTATAAAAAAAACTCTTTGGGTATTTATATTTCCTAACATATACCGAGATATTACCTTAATAAAATTTACCTTTGGTTTTATATTCATTTTAAGAACAGAATTAAGATTTAAAAATAAAACTTAATCAAAAGCTAAAAACAATTAACTTTAAAATATGTAGGCAATTTATTACTCATGTCAATTGCAAAATATTGAATATTTATTAAAAAAGGAAGTTTTTAATTGCTTCAGGGCATTTAATTTTACTCAGAAGACTAAGCCATTAAGATCAGACATAAATATATGGAAGAATTTCTATATAATACCACTGGTAATATTGCTGGTAATTTATTGTTCTTTATAAGCCATGTTGCAAAATTAATAAAGGCAAGCAAAAAGTAATACATAAAAGAACAATAAAATGTTTCCAACTGCAAATCACATCAAATCTACAATAAATCGTGTACTGTTAGGTACCTTATCGATTTTCTATTCGCCGCTTACGATTAGTATTCAAGAATATAATGGATCTCGTACTCAAAGAACCTTCAACATATTCAACAAGAAACTTCAACATAGAACAGAAGACCTTATCAATGTAGGACATCTCATAACAAATAAGTTGTATCCTAAGTTTGAGTTTGTATTTTAATGTATACCTTCTCATCAGAAAGTCCTATTTATATGTTACCTTATTTCTGTGAAAGCAGAAAAAAGAATTTAGAAGGAAAGTCGAGTCAATATTGTGGCGTAGTATACTTTGAAAAAGTCTTCACGAATCGCCACAATATATTCGCAATCGAATTGACAATTGACAAACGATAAGACAGAAAGCGTGAAAACAATAGGGCTTGTAGGAACGTGAAAAAGAGAAAATGAAGGTGTGTTTATTGCGGAATGAAAACACTACGTGGTATTTTTGTCTTCGACTATAATATGATATTGTGTTTGTGTTACATAATTCCGAAGTTTTTGTTCTACTTGAGCTTTTGTTTTCTTTATGGACATTTATCATTGGGATTATTAACACTCCTTGTCTTTGCTTCTTCTCTGTATTGTATCTTTTTGATTAAGAGCATTGTTTTTAATGATTTTATCGCCAATTTTTCTGCCTTAACAGCGACACCTTAACTAAACAACTGCTCTGATACTATTCAATTCTATGAGTAGAAATTACATGCATGATTGGTATAGGTATTCTTAAGTTGCTTAAAATTATTATTTTTCTCATTATATTAATTACAGTTAATTTCTCATAATTATCATTACGATAAATTATGGTGAGATAAACTTATTATTAGCAAAAACATTGCAATATTGCCTTCATTGATAAAATAGTAACTAAAACCATCATTAAACTTGAGTACTTGGAAAAGAAGCTAACACACATATATAATTTTTAATTAAGATTATTTATATTTCATGAAGTGGTGTGAGTGATCTCGGATACCACATACCTTTTATGCGAATTGATATTTGAACTGAATGAGTATCAACTCAATAAATATACCTACGTATTTGAAAAGGAATGAATAAAATACTGCCATATTAATATAATATTAGCTAATACACCAACTTCTTCTTAGATTTGCACCCTTGTAGAGTTTAGTTTAGGTTTTTTTCTCTATATCATATCCTATAATATTCTTCGAAATTACTTATATTAATAATCTACCCTTAAATATAAACGATAAGCAATATTTTATCAATAGATATTTTGTACGTAATATATATTTTTTTCATTAAAGTCGTCCCATTTTATTAGCACTACTGAATTGTTAAAAAATAAAAATTTACATTTTAACTTCCTTTTTAATATTTTGTTGTATGAATATGAACTATTGTTTTAGATAACTTTCTTATATTTCAAGTTTGGACCAATACACAAATGTTTATTTATTAATTAAAATATTCTATTGGATGTGAGTCATCTAGTGATATATAAAGTCTTATGCATTCCTCTCTCTAATGTATGTATAATATAATTACATAATATAGATAGTTTATGAAATTGCCGAGTAAGTATATTCGATACTTTAGCTGTAGATATATAATAATAATGTCGTAATATAAATTATTATTTATCATATTACTTATATTTTGTTCCATATACTGGCGTAAAAAGGCTTAGAATTAAGTAAAAAGAAAATTAATTAATTGACAAATAATGTTCCAAGTAGAAACGAATTACGTTAAATTTCATGGACTGGACTCAAAATTTCTTTTTTTAGTCTAGATATTATTATTTTTTATCTAATAATATTCCACAATATGAAAGGCAAATTATTACCTATATTTGATAACAAATCCTATATTCTACCTACAAACTGAAAGCTATAAATATTTTTCGATAATTCAGAAATAAAGGCAATGGCGTGTAATTTGTGTGTTGTCTATGATGTGAAGAGAATTGAGTTTCTATTATGATTATTAATTCTATATTCATTATTAACCCACTAATTGGACTTTTTCTGAGATACTGGTCTCACATACGCCAACATAGCCCAGAGTGGTGTAAATATTATATTTACTATATTTTTTTAATCTAAGGATTGCCTATTAAGATAGGCAAGGCGTTTGACCACAATCTCGCATGATGGAAAGCGATGAGGAGGCCTAGGATAGTGCACGCCTGCCTAGAAGATGCCTGTAGTGGATAGATAAATGTCACCGCAATGATACGTATGTCTGTGAAAATTGATTGATTTTATACGAGTCACGATGGAAAAGAGGACCGCCTCGCTAATGCTGACGTTGCAGAAAAGCAGTTGACGATCTTAGTGGCGCTAGTGGTATAAACGTCGGGTTTCAAGGTGTTGCCTATTCAGAGGTCCCAGATTCGAATCCCGGTGAGGCAAATGTTAGTACGATGAATACGGGCATTTGTACCCAAGTCATGGATGTTTATACACCGTAAATTTTGAGTTACCTGAGAGTACTGAAAACAGTCATACACATAAAACGTACTTCACCCCCATATAAAAATATTGATTTACGTCGTTTAAAAAATATCGTATGAACGGTAAATAACATACCCAAGTAATTATATATTTATTTCAGTACGTAGATACTAAAACAGTTTTTATTTAAATCAATTTATGACAATTAAAATGATAGAGGTTTCATAATTGCACAATTATTCAGTAAACCTAGACAAATTTTTCGAGAAGAGCAAATTTTGTTTTTGCATAAAAAATATATTAATAAAGTAAAATAAATTTTGATTTATCAAAATTCACGGTGTGTGTGATCACGGTGTGTGTATTTTATCACTGTGATCTCTAGATAAATATACTTGTGTAGCAGTATTATGTATTCTATCGGTTGAGCTACCCCTTAGTATCTCATAACACAGCGTTGCAGTACTTACTTTGCTCATTGGTGTGAGTATTTGAAATATTTATTTATTATTTACTTGGTTCGTAAAATTAGCTTCGTGTGAGACCAGTATTTAAGGGTACGATTATAACCACAACAGTGTTTTTCCTATTATTTTATGTGACAATTCCAGGTATCAAAGATACCATTAGTTAACCATATGAGTATGATCATATTATGATAAGGAAAAAACAAATAGAAATCTTTTAATAGCAGTTGCTTAGATCTTATTTTTATGAAACAAAGAACGCCAATTTTAATATTAGAAATGATCGTGTCAAACATTTGGTTTTTTATCTGTATATTGATGTAAATAATATGCAAATGATATTATTCATAAAAAGTGGTTCGATAATGTTTTAGCATAAAAACGATAATAGTTTACTGTCATTGAATACCTTTGCATTTAATTCACGAATAATTAAAGAAAGCGGCTTACAACCGATTTCATTTTGTCCATTAAAATTAACCAGGTATTGAATCATGCAATACTATGTTAAATTGCGGAAAAAAGATGATGATAATAGTTGAAAAATAAATATTTGTGCCAATTGTTAGTTTTATTTATGCAACATTATTCCCTTCTAAATCATAACCATTCATAGATTTTGACAATATTTTAGATATTAAAGAATTTTTTGTCACGCTATCTAGATTCAAGTAGACGGAGTATGTGCTTCAAATCGTTTGTAAACCTATCATGTCTTGTTTTGAGAACAAACAAAGACATTAATAATTAATATTAATGTCTTTGTTTGAACAAATAAAGAGGTGGAAAAGCATGGGTCCCGGTGAACCGTTTTGATTCTACCATTAACATGTGATAGCGTGGTTTTTAACATCGTCATATCTGACGATATGTGCCATATCTGGCACATTTTTTTTTACTGAAACTTTTATCAGATTCAAAGCTAAAAAAACGTCTTTGATGTTTAGCATATCGCATTATATTTTTAATTGTTATTAAAAATTTCAGACCTTATCTTGATATTGTCTCTTGAGATATCGGTGGTTCAGTCGTAGAAAGCAACCCTTTTTGGCACGGGATGTAGGTGCATATACTTGCATATTCTATTTGGTTATATTGTCTTTAGTACCGTGACCCGTGGCTAAACATCGTATATTTATAGTACCTAGTCAGGTCATAAATTCTGTCACATATTTAATATAAAATAATTAAAACAAGTTTATTCATTATCATAACCATTTATATACCAAAATGAACTTAACAAAACATAGATTCTTATGACAGTAAAGTTTATTCAAAATGACCTCCGTGATTTTGAATACAGGCTTTCAATCTGTTGCTGCTGATCTGAAGTCGGCTATCGCAGCACGAACGAGGTCCATGTCAATATCGGCGGCTGCCTTAATCAAGGATGTCTTGAGTGACTCCAAATTGGGATGAGGCTTTGAGCACGCCTTTTCCTCCAAGTGTTGCCATATCTTGTAATCTAACGGACTCAAATCTGGACTGGAGGAGGGCCAGTCTTCGTGCCGGATGAAGTCGATTTCACGCGCAGCCAGCCAGTCTTGTGTGCTCTTCGCTCTATGAGCTTGATTTGATTCACAACTGCATTCGTTTTTACACCTTTCTCACAAAAATGTACCTCTGTTAAGCCCCAATAAGAAACTCCCAACCATACATGAGCGAGGATGGAAAATGACCTCGTTGGACACTCGGAATGCGGTTGCTCGCTTCTTCACTACTGTGTGCGTACACCTCATATATTTTGTTTGTTGTAGCTCTCTTCTACGGTAAAAAAATTCCCGAGTACCGCTTCAACAAAGCGCAGCATCTCTTCAGTCTGAGGTCCATTAGACGGGCATTCAAAAGATGTCCTGTTTTTCTTCGATATGCCCGAAGCCCTAAGTCTTCATTTAACACCCTTTTCACCGCGGTTCTGCTTAACCCCATCTGAAGGGCCAACAGTTTCTGCTTACGTTTGGGATTTCTTTGAATTCACACCTTCACAGCTTTTATCACTGCTGGAGTATTAACCGAGGGCGACCACTTCTTGACCTGTCATGTAGAGTCTTCATTGTATCCTTTGATGGTACGATTAACGAATCTTTTGGTTATATTCAAATTTTTCAGTATGTCAAAAATTTGAATTGGCGCGTAACCGCAACGATGCAACGCAATAACTGCAAAACGGTCTTCTTTAACCTCCTGAGTGAAACTGTAGTATATTTACAACATAGAAAGAAAAAATTCCTGCATCGCCATCTAACGAAATTCGCTCGATGTTTTACCTTAATTTTATAGACAAAACATATATCAGCCATGCTGAGCGGCGATTGGCTGAGAAAGTAGCTTAGACTTTTTTTATTGTTAACTTCACGTCGACGATGCCTTCGGTACCGGGACCTCGTGATATGATTCTTTAATTTTTTTTTATGAAAAACTCTGTTGTTTGTAAAGATTTTAGTAGTTAATTGTTAGCTTTGATGCATTTATCGTAATAACACAACGTTATTGTATTTCACCGCACAGACAACTAAAATATTAACAATAAAAGCTTTATGTTGTACTAGTAATACATTGGTTCTCAACGACTTATGTGTACACAGAATGGCCAGTGTAGTAACTATACAACATAAGACATTTTTACTTTTCATTACATTTTTTGGTATTGTTTTGTTAGTTTTTTCGGGATAATGAAATCAATGTGATTCTTCTTAACATCTTAGAATAAAATTGATTGATTTGGCGGATGAAGAGAATCCAACAGAAGAGATCTATTCAGCGCGAAATTATGATAGCCATTTTTACCCTGGTTCTTCGAATGAAGATAAGATCCGTCCAGAATCTGCACATTTTTGTGTTCTTCTATTGCTGTTACCCACAGTAGTCATGCCAGGACCAGAAGTGGCCCTTGTACGCGTGGTAGTCGGTCGAACCGTGCAAGAACCAGAGGTATTTGAGGACAAAGCGCCACATTTTTACCATCATCGACAACTGGTATATATAATACATGAACCGGTAATTTCACTACTTTAGAGAAACTTTTTTATCAGCCAAGATTTATGGAACTTAATACGGATTCATCAAGAGTTTTTTAAACACTATATAACTGACTCATTCTCGAACAGATGCAGATACAGATGCTTGACGTTACAAATAAAACATACCTTCTGAAAAAAAGGAGAAGAGTTGGAGATGACGTTCAGTACATTCATAGGCGTCCTAGTCGGCTAGTCATGGGGTCTATTAATTTGCCAGCTATAAGTACGTATTGGTCAGATAAATACGGGATTCAAATCATAAAATCTGCTATGAGTCGGAGGCGATATTTTCTATCAGGTCAGGAAAGGAAGCAAAGAAAAACATTTTTTATAGAGATTCACACAACAAACTTTTGATAGGATTTTGATAGGTAGGTATAATTTTTGCATATGTTAAAACGTAATTTATTTTATATGCAGATTTTTGTTAAAGCTTCGTAATTTTTAAGATAATAAAGCAAATCTGCTAACTGAGGTTTGTAAAAAACTACTTAGCCTAAAATTAGAAAATAAATGCCCCGTTACTTGATTTTATAGTTGTGTTTTACTATGCATTAAATTATTTATGCAGCAAATGTACATAAATAATACCGACATACCATCATTACATAAAATATTTTTTATATTGTAAACATACTGCATTTTACACATTAGGTATACAGAACTGATGTTGTATATATACTACATTGAGAAAATCTAGATTTTCCAACAGACATTTTTTTTTCTATTTTTTGAGAACATCTAGTGACATATAAAATCGATCTAGTAAGTTTTAAATTAAATTCCCGAAAACAAAAGTTGTGGTTCTCAGGAGGTTAAGCGTCCACTCTCCACTATTTAAAAATGAGGTAAATTCTAAAAAGTATACATTTTTATTTTCATGAACAATTCGAAATTCGAATTCAATAAACTTTTTTGTGGCCAGCATTCTAAAGGAAAAGTTTTTACTGTGTACTTATGACCTGAAAATTTATTTTGCTTTGTAATGCTATGAATCTACGATGCTTGGCTTTTCAACATACCCTTAATAGTCAACCTAGAGCGGCAAAATGCATCAGATTATACGCGTAAGCCAGGCGTAGAAATCTTCGCTTTACAGCACGTTTGAGCCAGGAGTACCCACACAATTATGTTCTTCACTGAATTTTAAAAAATATGATTTTTTTTAATTGGTTTTTAATAAACATGCAGAACAAAACAGTCGGTATGCAAATTTAACTTAAAAAATAGATAGGTATCATACCTAGTTTTTTTTTTGTCTTTTATTAGTAGCTACTTATCACTTATAAAGTAATTCTAGCGGACGACGTCTTCCACGTCCGCTAGTATTGCATAAAGGTATTCCAGCGGACGTGGAAGACGACGTCAAGGTTAGGTTACAACACTAGTTATAAAAAATAATAAAATCCGACTGCTCTGCAGCTTACCGAGTCCAACAGACAAAAAAAAATCAGCCTAGCGGGGTTTACAATCATACAGAACAATTATAAAAATAATGATGATATTGAATGACAAATGATTTATGAAATCTCAATGGATATTTATCCTAAATCTCAATGGATATTTATAAAAAAAGAGAAGATACTTTGATTACAAAGGTGTGAATACTATATTTCATTATTATTTGGCTACCACGGTTAAACGTGGTTTATAGCGTGTTTTTCTACTAGTAGTGGCCTAGCTAGTTGCCTTGCTAGCAGCCTAGCTAGCAGCTTAGGTAGTTGCTTAGCTAGCGGCCTAGTTAGTTGACTAGATAGTAGCCTAGCTAGTTGCCTATCTAGTAGCCTAGCTAGTTGCCTAGCTAGCAGCCTTGCTAATTGCTTGGTTAGCTGCCTAGCTAGTTGCCTAGCTAGTAGTCTAGTTAGTAGCCTAGCTAGTTGCCTAGCTAGCAGCCTAGCTAGCAGACTAGATTGTTGACTAGCTAGCAGCCTAGCTAGTTGACTAGATAGCAGCCCGGCTGGTTGCCTAGCTAGCAGCCTAGGTAGTGATCTAGCTGGCAGCCTTGGTAGAGTTACCTAGCTAACAGCCTGGTTAATTGCCTAGTTGCCTTGCTAGCAGCCTAGCTGGCAGCCTAGGTAGTTGCTTAGCTAGCAGCCTGGCTACTTGCCTAGCTAGCGGCCTAGCTGGTTGACTAGCTAGCACCCCAGCTAGCAGCCTTGCTAGCAGCCTAGCTAGCAGCCTAGCTAATTGCCTGGCTAGTTGCCTAGCCAGTAGTCTAGCTAGCAGACTAGGTTGTTGACTAGAAGCAGCAGCTTAGCCAGCAGCCTAGGTAGTTGCTTAACTAGCAGCCTGCCTACTTGCCTAGCTAGCGGCCTAGGTTGATGACTAGATAGCAGCCTAGCTAGAAGCCTAGGTTGTGGCCAAGCTAGCAACTTGACTTATTGCCGAGCTAGTTGCCTAGCTAGGTGTCTAGCCAACAGCCACGATAGTTGCCTACCTAGCAGCCAGCAGACTTGTCCTCGGTGGCTTAGTATAGCTATGCTCAAGACTAGATGAATCACTGAGAATCTTTATTTAATACGGGTCTATTTGTCATTAATCCTGATGTTTGTATCTTAAATTAAGGCCTATAATTCTATAATTAAAAAAATAACAATTTATTAATAATAATTATTAATCATTACATAGTCTACCCTAACTACTGAAACTCTGAGGAGTGCCCTCCTTGCCGGCAGTGACGATGTGGGTTTCTTATTGGGATTTGACCACACTGAAGGTGGAAGATCTCATGCTCTAAAACAGTGATTACCAAAGTGGTCTATATCGACCCCTAGGGGTCTATGACAACCTGCAAGGGGTCTACGTCAGCGAAAAAAAATCAATATCAGGTAAGTAGGGGGTCTACCCAACACGGAAAAACATGGCAAGGGGTCTACGACACAAAAAAGCTTGGGGAACACTGCTCTAGAAGAAATAAATAGCTATTGAATATACACTTCTGGACACATCTATTGGCCCACCCTGTATTTTCAGTTTCGTTTGGTCCTAGCTAAAATTTTATATTAGGTCGAGCAAAAAGTTTTTATGCAGTTTTGAACCTGGCACATTCACAATTTCATTCAATAGTCTTTTTTGAATTTCGAACACAGAATTTAAAGAAACAAAAGACAATTTGGAGCCTGTTTGTTGATATCAAACAATCGAATACTAAGAAAACTTGGTTTTATTGGTTTACTTGGATTTAATTCTTGAAAAAGTGATTGATATCTTTGGTTTTGCAACAAACATTACTTATTCTTAACATTAAGGTGAGGTTCTATCAATAATCTATGGATACTTCACCTGAAGTCGCCGCCCAAGCTGTGGCACTTATTCAGGCCGGACACAGCCAAAGAAACGTGAGTGCTCAACTTAATTTAAGTCGATCTGCGGTCCGAAATGTTTTTTCGGAGGTACCTAGAGACTGGCGGCTTTGTTCGTCGCCAAGGAAGGCCACGATCTCGGGTCACAACTGAAAGGCAGGATCGATTCATCGTGACGACCAGCTTGAGAAATCGTCACCTTACCTCCATTGAGATACAAAACCAACTTCGCGACTTCCACGGAGTATCTGTGAGCGCTCGAACTGTTCGGAGAAGGTTAAAAGAACGCGATATGGTACCACACAAGCCAGCTAATGGGCCCAAACTAACGCGAGCCCAACCAACAGCACGCCTTCATTTCGCACGCAGTCATTTAAATTGGACACAGCAAGATTGGAGCCGTGTACTCTTTTCTGATGGGACTAAAATTGTGTTACATGGCAATGATGGAAGGAAGAAGGTCTACCGACGTAAGGGAGAGCGTTTCGCACAATGCTGCTTTGAAGAGAGGGTTGCTTATGGCGGTGGCTCATGGACTGTCTGGGGCGGTATATCCGCGAGCGGCAAAACTCAACTTGAGGTTGTTACAGGACCACGGCTGCCAACATTAAATGCTGAAAGGTACATTCGTGAGTGCTTAGAACCTCACGTAATACCATACGCGGACTATGTGGGCCCAAATTTCCTTTTTATGCATGATAATGCAAGAGCCCATGCGGCCGGTATCGTCAGGGAATATCTTCGGGATGTGAATATCACAGTTATGGACTGGCCAGCCAGAAGCCCAGACATGAACCCCATTGAGCACATGTGGGACGAGCTAAAAAGACGTATTAGGGCTCGTCAGCCAGTTGCCCAGACGATGCAGGAGTTGAAAACTGCCATAGAAGAGGTATGGGAGATGATCCCTCAAAATTTCATGGAGCGGTTGATAAACTCTATGCTTAATCGTATGAGAGCTGTGGTAGATGCCCATGGAGGCAACACGCGTTATTAAATTAAACCTTTATTTGATAAAACATGTTTTTTATTAAAAAATCAATTGCCTTTAACAAGGCGCATATCCGACTTGTTAGGTGTAGCTCCATGTCGTATGGTATTCTAAATTCAAATTTAAAACAATACAATCGAAAAAGATGGTAAAATGTATCAGGTTTAAAACTGCATCAACAGTTTTTGTTCAATCTAGCAATCATATTTCGGTAGGGGCCATCGAAACCTAAACTCTAAGGTGGGCCAATAGATGTGTCCAGAAGTGTAGTAATATAGATGATAGCCTGAATACAACATTACTATATTATTAATAGACGGGTTATAAATAAACCTATAAACATGGGTTACATAGGTATTAACATACCTATTTTAAAACATCGAAACTTTGATCTCCTGAAAAGTCGCAAACGAATATGGAAATAAATGTTTGTTTCACACATAGTGTTCAAGAAGTGGAATAATATTAGCTGCAAAGTACGCGAAATATATTCGTGTTTTTGTCACTGGTCGTTTTACAAGCTTTTATTTTTAAGTTTCCTTTTTATTTTATTCGGGTAGTAGAAGTGGTTTGTTTGCAAAATAATATTAAAAACAAACGTCACTTCATACATGTGCAAGAATTAATATCCATATTCATTTCACGTTTTTACTGACATTTTTTTTTGCATAAGATTATAAGTTTCTTCATTAATGAAAAAAAATATTTGAAAAAAAGAAGATGTTTTTCTATTAGTATTTGAAATCAACCCAATTTGTTGACTGGGGCTGTAAAAAATTATGTGTATGAAAAACACATAAGGTCGAATATCTTGTCAAAAACGAATAAAAAAGTCATTAGTCGGAGACTTCATTTAGAAGGTCCCCCGAAATAATATCCGTTTCACACGAAATCGGCCGTGTTCTAGTATGATTTGGAAGTCAGGCAGGGCCAAGATTGAAACATAGAATAGGTTATACGGTTCTCATTTGTAGTCGGTACACGTGTTGCCCCGCTCTGGGAACCGGATATTATTTTTTTAACTTTTTAGTACCATTTTCGTTTTTGAAGTCGTTTTTTTTATTTTTGATTAAAATATTCTTTATTTTTATCCATTTAGTGTAAAGCGACTACACAAAAAAACCCTAAAAACAGCCGTACACAAATTATCGTGAAAATTACATCATCCAACTAAACAAAAAGCGGCCAAGTGCGAGTTGCATTCGCCCATGAAAGGTTCCGTAGCAGCAAGTAACATAATATAAAAGTGCTTGTAGTTCGTTGTAACTTTGAAGGATGTTTAAATCTATACTAATATTATAAAAAGGAAAGGTTTGTATGCAAGTATGTTTGTAACTCAAATCAAAAAGTACTGGACCGATTTTAAAAATTCTTTCACCATTTGAATGCTACATTTATCACTTATTAATATATTAATTAGGGTTCCGTGTTTCACACCTAATATGGACATGCCTGCTGTTGTGGACTTTTTTACAGAATTTTTAAAGGGGAAGAATTCCGTCATACATGATTTTTGTGTAACTTTAACAGTTCACCCAGCGCACGCAACGGAATCTCACAAATGGAATATTTTTACCCGTTTTTTCATCATTTTTCATCGATGCTCTGCTGCTACTGGTCGTAGCCTGTTAATATACAGCCTTCCTCGATAAATGCACTGTCCAATAAAAAAAGATTTTTCAAATCGGAACAGCAGAGCAATGCTGCATTCGGTACAACGGGTCCTTAACTACGCAACGATTTTTTTATGAATGGATGGTTTATAGTTATCTATTATGAAGAAAGTCATTGTGTATATATAATACAAGCCTTTGAACAAAAACTATTGTCTACACTACAGCTCTACACCAAAGCAAAGCGAGGGCGGGCCACTAGTAATATATATATATAGATATATATATTAATATATATATTTAATTAAGTTTGCATGGTAATATAGTCATATTTTTATCATTCTCTTAGACAGACAGACATGACGAATTCATAAGGGTTCCATTTTTTGCCATTTGGCTACGGAACTCTAAACAGGCTCATAAAATGAAAACTATGGGTCAAACTAAATTAAAATGTAATGGGACCAAAGAGAAAATGTTTCCCATCGAAAGAAAACAGAATCGGAACAGAAATCTTTACGTAATCGGTGTACATACATAATTAAATAAAATGCTCATAAAATAAAAATAATAAATAAGCCAAACTGAATGAAATTTTGATGGAATCAATAGTTGCCAAACTATTTCGCATTAGCAAAGAAAGAGAACCACGTAATTCGGAAAGCAAATCTCGTAGTAATCGGAGAACAAATATAAAAAAATACCGGCCGATCGAGAAACTTCTGCTTTTTGAAGTCGGTTGAAAATGGCTCTTTATATTGCTTTGTTTTATTCAAAGCATTCATAGCCTGTATAGCTCTGAATCCGATTTGGATGTTGTAAGAATTCTATAGATATCTCACTCTTAATGTCGTGTTCAGTCAAGATGTTAAGGTAGGAGATCACAATAAACCGGTATCATGCACATACCCATATACATACATACATGCGTGCGATAGCAATAGCAGATTAGAAAAAAAAATACAATTTTTTGTTTCATTTTTGGCAGTACGTGCTTTTATGTTTATTTACTCTCCAAAGTGTCCTTGTGATGACAATGGCCTTAATAACCAGTTTGCAAGTTATTGGAAAAAAATAATATTAAGTATAGAGCGCATATGCCGTCACGTCTTCGTTTAGTTGCTTTCAGACCTCGTCCGTTATTGGTGACATCTATCATAATGCAAAGTGTATTCATATTTTTTATTTGTTTACCTGTGGTCATAGTGAATTCCCTTTTCTGCTTTTGGAACAGTGGATGTCCATACAGACATTTTTCTACGAAAACCCCATACAATCTGGTAAGGGGTGACATTAGAGACTCTGTTATCAAGGTCAAAGGTAAGTTTATGAGTAGTGTTAGTGTATTACGATCTAAGAATATTTGTTTCATTTTTAAAATTGTATCTACCATAGAGAAACTTTTGAAAAAAAACGGGAGACGATAAAATTGGGTTACTAATATCAGCGTATCAGTACCATTTAAAATATCTTCTTAGAATTGATAAGTGATATATGCAATGCAATGACTTATATTGCTGCTTGTGTTAAGGTGTAAAAATAAAAAATCTACAAACCTTATTACGACCACGTGTTCATTTAATACGGACACGTTCGTTGCAGTTAATATGGTTAGTGTAATTTTTAGTGATAGTTTCTTTTTCTCTTATTTCTCATTTGTCAAAATTTAACAATACCTCAAAAGTTTTGTCATCTTAGGAATGGACTGGCTTCTAATACACAAGTTTTACTTACATTGGGAGTCAGGGTTATGTTGATTTGTAAATTGGTGTGTTGAAATAAAGATTTTTAACTTTCCTACAATGCAGGTTGTACAGCAGTTAGTATATGGTCACTCTATAGACATGGCAAAAGGTATCCCAACAAGCATTCTGCTCATTTGATGGAGAACGCTGTAGCAATACGCAATCATATTGCTGATAGCTTTGAAAACGGAAAATGTTCACTTTGTGCCCAAGACGTCGACAATGTGATAAATTGGAAAGTTGACCACAGATTGTTTAAGGGTATTACAGAACTCACTGATGAGGGATATAGAGAAATGTATTCTATAGCTAACAGATTAAAAGCTACTTTTCCTGATCTCCTAACAAATCTCAAAGAAAATGAATTTACTTTTCGACCAACTGCGGATGACAGGATGGAAGAAAGTGCTCAAGCGTTCGTTGACGGTATTGGCGAGAGATTGTCTATTGAGCAATTAAAAGTTAATGACTCCATTACAGTAAGTATATTAGAAAAATGATTTTCTTACATGTTTTTTTCAAACATGGTTTTTTAGTAATTGGCTTTTATATTTTTTTTTCAATGAAAATGTTATGATAATTATTGATAATATCATTATCTTAAAAATATAAATTGTCCCTCCCACTATTACTGTTTTTATATTTAATAGATAAATATTTGAAATATGTGTTGTTAGAGCATAGAAGATGCTGCAACTTAAAGTAGCTTAACTCGCGTAGCTGTACTTTTACAAGTCACATTTGTCATTGGTTGGGTCTTAAAAGTTGTCCAAAAACTGAAGTGAAAATTTGCTAGCTATATCGGCGACAGCATTTTCAAAAATTAGATTCAATAATACAAAGTTCGTCCTGAATGATTCGCTAAGTATAGTTGCTTACGTTAGTAGGTTTGAGGGTTGTTTCGACTCTTAGCGTGCGCACAGTTAAGAGGGGAGGCGGGCAATGATTTTACCATACAAACATTCTCGACCGTTTCTATCAATTGTATATCACCACTAAAGACGTCTAGTGTGGAGGATGAAGCATTCAATAAGCATTTACAAAAAAAGCAAAACGGACTACTTAGTATAACTACTAACTATTATATGTATAAAATTATTTAACATATCGGAGTAAATCGTCGAAAGCGAAACCTCGAATATCGCAATTTCTATAGGCAATTTTTAGCGTTATCTAATGTTGTCCCTATCGCACGGAGTTTGCCAATGCGCGACAGCAATAGTTTTTTTCAAATACAATTATTTCTTAAATGTCTCTCAGCTCGCGTCTGCTCTTAAGGTACAATTCCGCAATGGACTGCAGACTGCAACCGCAGGCGACACTGCGGCTAGCGACTGCGGCTGACTGCAGTGCTGCCTGCGGTCACGGCAGCGTCTATTCCGAGCGCGACGACATGCCGCGGCTGTACAATGCATATAACCATGCCTCAGCTACTCTAATACCTTCGTGCGAGACAAAATGTCGGACAACGCTACCGATAATTTACTAATGAGTCTTTTGTTAGAAGAGGAAGATGATGACGACTTCTTGTTACTATATAATGTCAAAAAAGTAAGAAAAAAGTTTTCTTGTAAAAATGGTAATTGGAAAAAAAATGGAAAATATGGTTGAGTACTGACAAATTTCGGTGCGGTCAAACTATGGTAACGGCATATCTATTCAAGTCTTTAGTGTGACCTCTCTGCGGTTGGCGACACCACTGGAAGTGCAGTCTGCGGTCGCTGCACGCCGCAATGTCGCCGCGCTCGAAATCAATTTTATAGAGATCCATAGAAACTAGTAGTGTCGCCTGCAGTCTGCAGCTGCGGCCTGCAGTTCAGTTCGGACTTGTACCTTTAAGCGAGGCACGGAGCGGGTGACCACTCGGCGAGTTTGTTTCATAGTCCCGCCTAACACGGCGCTGGCGACGGGGCACGAAGCGGGCGCCTGCTCGGCGTGTTTGTTTCATAGGCCTGCCTTACACGGTCCAGGTGCAGAGCCCGCCTACGACGACGGACACCCGCTCCGTGTCCTGCTTAAAGGTGTGCACGCTCTTAAAGTTGTAAATAAAATGTTATGGCAATGAAAGATCTATTCCCAAAATTCATAAGTTCAATTACATATTTTTTCTTTTTGTTAGCCTTATACGTCGTGTGGTAAATATGGAAGCGAAGTAAAGGACAATCCAAAGACATTTGAAGAATCGTCCAAATATCAAAAAAGTTCGGAATATCTTGCGGTAAGTGAAAAATACTAAAGTTTGATAATAATATAAAGTCGAATTCATATTTACAAAATAATATGCTTATTTTATTCTAGATGCCCAATGAGCACCGCGATATATTAGTATGGGGATAAAGGTGACATTGGACAGAGATTATTTTATCCCAAACTATAATTTAAAGTAGATGAAATTTTTTTAGTATGGAAAAATGCTGGTTTTGGTAAATAATAATTTGTTTAATTATTTTTTCAGCTTTTTACTAATCGGTGGATGCAAACAAAGTAAAACATCACTATATTCGCATTTTAGTCCAAGTGCCTATGTAAAACTAAACGATCGTTATTAAGTATTTAAGTATAAATAGGCAAGCATCCGGACAAACAGAAAGCAGAGATATCTCTTTTTACATTATGTTATTATTTCTTTCATTTTTTAAAGCTGTCTTTCATATCCAAGATATTATTGACAATTGGATGGGGAGACGAAGAACACATAAAAAAGAGAAGAAGAATAAATAAATACGGAAAAACGGAAGTAAAAAAAATAAGATAATATTTCATGTAAAACCTGTGTTCATTGTTTGAAACACGCTTTACATAATGAAACTAATTAAGCTTAAGATTCGCCGTACCGTTTGTGCGACATTGAATTATTGGAATTTAAGGACTTAGGCTAAGAACTCATGCCCGCCACTAGCGTAGAATATAAAATTGTGGGTAAAACGCAAAAGCAAAAGTCACAGCGAGATTTGCGCTCGTAGAGCGCGCTTTTTTTTGCGGCACTCGTTGAGGGCACAGACGCGGCGACCATCGTTAGCTAGCCGCCGCTCGCGCGCCTCGTGAGTTTCGAAAAAAAAAGACAGGCCTTAGTTACATTACAAAAAGAAGGCGAACGTGTGTTACTTTGCATACCCACCTTAAATGTAGCTCTTAGGTATACACCTCCGCTTTCGAAGAGTGGAGTATTTATTTGTCTAATGTACCGCACGCTACCCGTATAATGTCGCGCCTGTCGTTTAAGATAGTCAGAGCTTATTATTTAGTTTCTTCATCCTCTTACATATATAATATTAAAATCGTTCCAAATTTTGTAAAACTAACGTTTCACCTAAATTCGCTTCAACCCATACGCCGTACGATTCGAGACCATGGATTATATTCGGTGGCCAGACATTATGTGAGGCGTTATGTTAATTAGAATATGCACATAAAAATATGAAAAGTCTCTTAGTGTGTTAAGTATTTATGATGCGTTAATTGATCAAATTTGTATTTTTATTAGGAATATAACTGCTAGATTTATAAATATAAAGAAAATGTTACTAGTAAAAAATCTACTCGGTCCAAGCATTAGACGGGATTCGATCCATCGATTAAATATTCTAGTATTTATTTAAATTTGTAAATCTAGAAGATAAATGCTTACAAAAATGAACTACAAATGCTATTTCTCTTTTCAAATGTGTAATACTTGTAAAGCTATTTCGTTTGACATTGTGGGTTACTTACATTGCAAACTGATGGCACAGCCTTGCAGCCTAAGAAATACTATAAGATATTCAACACGGCTATTAAGGTTTCGGAAGCATAATTGGTTAGTGTGTTCGCTCGGATAGCACAAGATGCGGATTCGAATCCTATATGATACCAGGAACTTTTTCTAGTAAAATTTTCTTTTATTATTTATTTATGATCATGTTTAATTTCAGATGAAAGATCGAATCCAACGACGCGCTGGTCTTGACATAAAACTGACAGACGATAACGTTACGGCACTTTACGATTTGTGTCGTTACACATGGTCAGGAATCGACAGCATTGCGAGCCCTTGGTGTGCTGTGTTCACATCCGAAGATCTTCAAGTATTGGAATACGTTGAGGACCTGAATCAATACTACAAAAGCGGGTATGGTTCACCGATGAACGAGCTGTTGGGTCATATAATTCTGGCTGACCTACTAAAATCTTTTCAGCAAGTAAAGAATGGAAATGGCAAAAGAATCACTGCTTACTTTAGCGAGTCGACGACTATTGATATGACTTTATCAGCCTTAGGGCTTTTTAAGGACAAAGATGTTTTACGCGGCTCTCAAAGGAATCGAGACAGAAAATGGAGAAGCTTTAAGCAGTCATCGTTTTCGGCCAACATAATGGCTGTATTGAGCAGGTAATAATTGAATTTATTATTGGTCGTAAAAGAAATAGTTTTAATTCCTAGTTTATATAAAAAGACTTTTGTTTTTTAGATGCTATCTTAATGGGAATGAAGATTACACCGTTGTGTTTTATTTAAACGAAGAGCCAATAAAATCAATATGCTTAGAAGGAATTTGTCCGTGGAAGGAATTCGAAGATAAATTTAAGCCATTTCTTGATACAAACATAGATTTTTGTGAATTTAACGCAATACGATAACTTTAAAAAAAGTAGATAATAACGTTACAGTAAATAATTTTAGTAAGTAATTATTTAAATAATATTATTCTTGCAAAAGCGACCTCCTGAGAATTTAAGATTCATGCATGATGTAGTAACATCTAATAATTTAATTCATAACTACTAATTTTGATATTTTATGGTTATTGCTAATTTCTCTATAATGGGCTACTGTTGTTAGAAATAAATGGATTTCAATAATAAATTATGTTGTTATTAAATTTTTGTATTTAAATATATTCTTCCTTTTGTATTTAAATACAAAAGGAAGGGCTTAGCCATTTGACCTGAGGGTCAATCGCCTAACGGGATTGCTATGGATATCGCTAACACTTACGATATCATTTTGTTATTTCTGACCGACGAAGGCTATCAAATACCTTACGCTCATTTTCTCTAATATTGTTATTATCAATGCAAAAGACAAAAAAAGAGCGCGAAGCATTACAAAACCTTTAGCGGTCAGAAATAATAAGAAAATAAAATTGAAAGCGATAGCGATAGTCATAGCAATGTCGTTAGGTGATTGGCCCCCTGTTGTAACTTAAATCACCTACAGGTACCGCCGATGATAATTGACTATATTTTTATTCAATAAACTTTAAAATTACGTGTCACAAACTTCTTAATAAAATGCACTCATCAAATGTTTGATACATATCAAACTAACATAAGTAATTTTGTTTAGTGTTTATCTTAAAACTTTAAAGTTAGCATAATTGTTCAAACGAATAATACCTGAAATGTCACTTGTTTTAACACACTAATCAAGATTTGCATGTAAATAAATGAATGATAATAAATTATAATCATTTTTATAAATGGTTAATATTTATTGTTCCACAAGAGCAAAATCTTTGAACTAAAACTCTATCACTAACAGTCATACTTAGAAACTTCAAATTAATTTAATGCTTCATTGAATCACGTGGTATCTCATTCTATTGCTGACACAAAGAAAGTGGCAGAATTTACTTTAATCAAACTTAAAAAGTTAATTGATTGCTCTGGCTGCGACCGTAAGTACTTTACGTTGAAAACTTATCTGGAACATTTCTCGTAATTCAAAAAGTATCGCAATATTAAAAGGCTGGAAGACAAAGATTGTTTACTTCCGAATAACAAAACAGGTTGTCTTTCAACTTGAGAACACCTCTGAATATTAAAGACTTCGTTGTAACAGGTACCTATAACAAGGAACAAGTTCAGAGAAATCAATGTCATTTCAGAGTCCGAACTTGGCCAAACTGAATTATTGTCATATCATAATAACTGGAGTTTTACGACTTATGAAATTGTTATTTTTTGGTCAGAGGTACCCTGAAATTTAGTTGATAGTCGTTTCTATATCGTTCCTGTTTCAAACAACTCGCGTTAAAACAGCGATTGTTGTAATGACGCGGTCCATTATGTTCGTTATGGAAACTGATAAAGCAAATTAAAACATTTTAAAATACGTGTCTAGTTATGTCTCATCTTTTTTTTGTGTTCATCAAATGATCCTGTAATACAGTTAATCTTGAGCCTTAACTATCCTTACTAGATGGTGATTTAAGCTTAAATTGCCCTCTTGCTATTCTGCGACATACAAAGGGCATCTTTATGAGTAATATCATAGAAACCGATAATGCAGATTACAATAATTCAAAGTTCGTATGAAGTTATGTTTTTTTTTTATAAAGGTACATTAAACAGCCAAAGGTCAGTAAAAATGTACACAGCTGAATAATATAAGTAAACCTTAGTTACCAAAAAGAAAACATAAAATTAAAGAAAAATACATTGATGCAATAGTCTTCAATCCTAAGTGATGAAACAAAGCGGGCGAAAGGAATGAAAATTTGATATTACCAGAGAAAAGTCACTAATTGGGTACGATTAGACTCGTTATTTATTATTTTATTTTTTATTATTTAGTTAAACATTCATGCATCTGCAATCAATCAAAATGAAATAAAAACATGCATAAAATAAACAATAAATATGTATATATATTTGAAAATTACAAGGGTAGTTGTTATTTATTTATTTGGGGACGGGGAATGGGGAGTTGGGTAAAGTGTCAACCTCAAATCATTTTTAAATTTCCGTTTTGATCCAAAAAATATATCTATGTCTCCAAATTTTTAATTGTATAAGTGTGACACGCACGCGCATTAGGTTCCCATATTTTGTACAGTGCAATGGTACATGAAAAAGTGAAGTGTGACGAGTACGATAATTAGGTATAGCGAGAGGCCCGCAAGCAGCTCAGGGCAATCAAGGTGGCCACGTATCAGAACCCACATGTTTCCTTAGTTTTTGGTGTGCATTAGAAGGTCTCGTAATACAGTTAATTCCTACTGTTCTCACTAAATATGGTGATTAACGCTTAATTGCTCCTTTGCTATTCTGCCCTTAAAGATGTGTTGTAAGCCAGTTGTATCTCAAACCGAATTAGTAAATTAAGTATTTGGTGATTGTATTAGGTTGTTAGTGGTTAGTTAGTGTAGTTACGACATTGACTTTTGAGGGTTTTATAAGGTACCTAATCTATCCAGAATTTCATTGCTTATTAATGTTTATTGAATCCAAATCCCAAAAAAGATTGTAAAACTACACATTTTAAAAATCATCTGTAACTCGCATAATTTTATGTGCATGCACTCGTTGCCAATAAATGAAAATTCTTGAAACTAGACTGTAATCATATTTAATATTTTGGACATGATATTGTAAATCACTATTATTATTAAACTGGGAATTATCTAGCCATGACTAGACTACATGATAAATTGATTAGTTTCAAACAACGCATTAGTATGGTGACTGAATAATTGATGAAATCACATAATATGAATAACTGATGATCACGCAGTTAGGATACGCCTCGGTCGGGAAACTCATGTTCCGCATACAAATATTCGCACGTAGCTGTAGTTGCTCTATAATTATTATTCACTTATCAATAATCTATCCCTGTAAAATAATAAAGTTATCAGCTGTTAATTATATGTATTTAATCAAAAATCATAGTTTAAGTGCCAACGATAAAAATTGGACATGACACGATGATCCCCTGTAACAAAGGTGTAAATGACTTTTTGAATTCTTTTTGTTGTCTAACATCCGGTGTCAATAATCAAACTCCAGTGAGGGATAAGCGAATTAAAGCTTTGGTGTTCATATTATAATATAAGTGCCCAAGGGGACATTTTAGGATTTACTCGAGCGCGGCAGAATAATATAAGGGGGCAACCTTTCATCTTGTGAAGTACTCCCATATATACCTGAGCCCTTTATATAGGGTCAAACTTCTAGGGCAGCAAATCAAATCAACAATCGGCCTTGTTTTTTATGAAATCGTCAGTCTTTTGAATAGGAGCTACTGGAGGATTCACGTAACATCCCTTCTCAATATCTGACACGATCGATTATGTTTTCCCCTTTTTTCTACTTCTTTTTACGGACTCCCCTATACCACGCAAACCGGCAAATTAACATTTTTCGGTCATCAAAAACTTACGTGAATCCTTCCCCGTGTTTTTGTTGATGAGTAAGGTTCGAGGGTTCCACGTGGTAGGGGGTTGGGTCAGTGTAAGCAGCGGTGCCAGTGATATTTTCGTATCGTAAGTGTCTAAAGGCTATGGTGGCCACTTACCATCAGGTCATGGAGGTCGTCAAAATATGAGTTAGGTGTGGGCGGTAAACACCAGAAGAAACTCCAGTACTTACATCACAGCAGCGGAGTTAAGTAAATAAAGATATAACATTCCTCTCAATACATTGTAGAGTCTAAGAAGTCTTCGTTCAAAACAATAGGGACAAACCACACAATTAGGTAACGTATTGCAGCCAACCCAAATAACGCTTAACCCTTGGATAATGTAGCCTAAATAAACACAAATAATGTTGGATGCAGATCCGATTTCTTCCTCATTTCCTTTCCTTATTTACAGTCTTTAGTCTATGGATATTAGACATTATTTCTATTACAGAACAGAAACAGAACATATTCTGTTCTTTGGAACTATTCTATTAAAATAATTTTGGATTCATCCAACAACACGTAAAACATAGATTAGCCTTTAGTTTAGCCTTTAGCTATGCACTTCACCACAAGTTGCGGTGTGACGTAAACCTGTCAGCAAGGATGGAAAATTTCGCAAGTTTTTCGTCATCGGTATTGTAATAGTGGCGGTGGACAAAAGCCTATGACTGTTTCAGCGATGTTCAAACTCTCTCCATTTGGCAGATACTTTTAAAAGGTAGTAGTTTCTATTATATATCTTCAGTGTTCCAAGTATTTTGAAATATAAATTTTAACCAAAATGTTCACTAAATAAAACCTACTTTATGACAAATCACATTTGCCCGAGCTTAAGGCGCTTAAAACATAAATCCTTAAAATACCTATATGTATTCTCAGTTCATGTGAAAAATTTCTAAATCAGACCTTGCCGGCCTGCAAAAATGCTTCTTCACGCCTCTCTTAAAGGACCCTAGATAGGAAGGAGGGAACACTTGCGCAAGTATATATATCAATCTCGCCGACAAAATGGTTGAATTAAAACAAAAAGAGGAGATAGATCTATAATAATAATAATAATAATAATAATTGTTTATTCCAGGCATAAAAAACCCAATAAAAAGTCATATACAGAATTAAAAAAAAAGTAAAAGTGTAAACAAAATAATAATAAAAAATAAAATAAAATCATAAAAGCATAAAAGACAGTAAAAGTCAAACAGGTATAATATTACCTACGTCATTTTCGGTTCTCACTCTGGTGCACTGAAATCCAGTATTTGAATAAAGGATTATCAAGTCCTTTGCATACAGTTTTGATTATGCTGTTATCAGAAAGACATATTCGTGACCAAAAAGAGGCTATACGTCTTCTCATAACAGCATAAAAGTCTGATATACGAGCATCTGAAAACATGCCCGACGCGCTACAGTATCTCGGTAGTCTCATAAGAATACGAAAAGCATCATTGTATTGCACTCTTATGGAACGGTACGAGCTACGATTAAAGTCAACCCATAGCTGGCAAGTATAAAAACATTGACAGTATAGGTTAAACAACATGAATTTAACCTCATCACAACATTTACCAAATATTCGCGCGAGCATATTGCACCTCACCGATAATGCCCGCCTCTCTCGCTCAATATCGAGATCGTCCCTTCCGTTCTCTGTAAGGATGTGCCCGAGA